ATAGTTTAAGATTAAATTATATAAAATTTTTATTAATAAATAATACTAAAATTATACAAAAAGATAGCTCCAATATTCAAATATATTTTGGCAAAATTTAAATAAATTTGGTTAAATAATCAATTCAAAATAATTTTTTTTGTATATACTAAATTTAGTATAATAGCAATACAGATACCTATTAATAATATATTATTTATTAGTGCTACCACCTGTTGATTCACGAACTATGTCAAAGATTTTAAGCATTAGACAAAAAAGCTTCACCCAAATTGAACATATTACTAGAAGACAAGCTAAACTTAAATATCTTATCACCGAATAATGAAAGCAGCTTGAACAGATTCTTGAAAAGTTGGATAATACTGAAGTAATATATAATTCTGCTATAGGCAAAAAAAGAGAGAAAAGAAAATGGAAGAAAACGGCAGATGATTTGTTTCAAGTAGTTGCTCTTTAACTCATTAATTAGATTTCATTTTTGTATTATTCATCAATATATTTATTACATGTACTGTAGGAAGCAGTTAGAGAACTTTTATATGAATTATTTCATGACTATAAGCAAATAAGCGATACTGAAATGAAAGTGCAACTCAAAAATAAGTTAGAAAATAATAAAGATTGTGCAGAACACTTGAGTCTATTAGAAGAAAAAAGATTTTTATTCAAAAGATTGTGGCATGAAAAATTATATTCAGATATCAGTATTTTTTAATAATATTATATGTAACATATATATATAATCTTTAATAATATTACATGTAATATATTTATATATATTAACTTTGTTTATATATAGATGTTAGTAGCAAATCATCTAAAAAAAGGGTACTATATTTGTCACATTAAAGAAGGACTTTGGGCTACTTTTGGCATTAGTAAAATTAAATCATTCAATGAACATGATACAAAAGACCAAATGAAACAATGGAAACAGGATTCTAGAAAAGCTTATAAAGATTTATATAATCTGAATAATTTAACTAATCCAAATTCTGATACTTTTTTTGCTTCAATTATACAATACGTTTTTGTTTCTAAAGACGAACAGACTCATATAAATGCTATCTGGACCTAAGCAATCTTGGAAATTATCTTTGATGAACATTACCTTTCCGCCAAAATTAATTCTAAAGTAATTGATATTTGGTTCCAGAAGCTTTTAAATAAAAATAATATGGTAATGTATATTTATTGTGTATAGTAACCAATAAATCAGTATTAGTTACTATACACCTAATACTAATTATCCTATTAATTGCTGTTCGGGAGTTTTTTTTTTATTTTCTTGAATTTTTTTAATTTTTAGAATATGGAAATTACTTACAACGAATTTCACAAATTAAATGAAAATAATGATAATAGAAATAACGATGATGAAAATGACAGAAATTTGTTTGAATCTTACCATGAAAGCAACCAAAATGATAGTATCGATGAAGATTGTGATGATGATGATGACAATTATATTGAATAGAGGCAGAAAATAAGAATAATAAATAGCTATAGAAAGTTGTTTTACTTGAATAGTTATAGTTATATAACTCACTATTTAATAAATTAGTTAATAGCATATTGTTAGTTTACTAGTTGATCATTAAACAACATGATAATCCTCAACAAGATATCCCTGTTCTACTAAATAAGATATGGTTTTCAAGATATCAAGCTTTAAATTTGAATTTCCAATAAGGTGAGTCTCTATAGGCCTATAAACCTTATATTTGATGTTTGTTACTTCTTTACGCTTCAGCTCATACACACTTGCGCCAAGATCTAGTTTAGCTGTTGTGTATTCTTTCACTACAGCTATGATTGCTAGAGGAAAATAATTTTTAACTGTTTCTAATTCAACCAAACTCCTGATGGTCTTTGATCGCTTTATTCTATCACATTCTAACAAAGAATGCATGTGGTCTGGAGATTTTTTATATCGCTCTATTTGGACTATCTTTGAAGCAACATACCAAG